GGGGGGGATTGGAGATGTGTGAGATTTGCCCGAGATTGCCCGAGATTTTCTCATACCCCATATACCCCATATACCCCCATATACCCCCATATACCCCCCAGACATCTCAGTACCAGTTTTTTACCCTCTTTCACATGGTCATGATCCCGTAGGTGCTGACCTCTCCGTTCGCCGAGATTGACCCCGAGATCAAGCCGAGATTGACACATGATCGCCGAGTCTCGGCTTGATGCCCCGGGTGGCCCGTTGGGACTTCCGCACCTCTTTCTGGATGGTGCCTGGCCCTCTTCACTTGAGAGCACTCAAGACTATTTAAACCCCATGTGAAAATCAGGAACTCGATCAACATGCTCGACAAGCTCAAACTCGAGCTCGTGCCGGCCGCCGGTGACAAGCTCGTGCTCAAGCTCTCTCCTCCGCCGCCGCCGCTTGCTGACAAGAAGGCGTGTGCTTGCGCGCACGTGACAATGCGCTCCCACCTGCAAGACATATCCTCTCTGGCCTTCTGGCTGACACAGGCGTCGCTGGCGGGCAACACGACCGTCAACGCTGCCGGAGGCGAGGCCGCCGGCATCCCGTCCGAGGGCGAGCCCGCTTCGCTCGAGGACGTCATCCCGTCCGAGGGCAAGCCCGCTTCGCTCAAGGAAGTCAACCCGTCCGTCATCCCGTCGCCGCCTTCGTCCGTCATCGACTCTGCCGAAGGCAAGCACGACGGCATCTCGTCCGAGAGCGAGCCCGCGTCGCTCAATGACATCATCGGCAACGGCAATGACATCCCGTCCGAGTCTGCGCCGACGGCTCCTGTCGGCATCACGTCGCTGTCTCCTTCGCTCATCGGAGCCGAGGTGAGTGTGCGCACGCCAGGATTGTCATCATCCCTACGGCCTCCCTGTCTCCGCACACTTGCGTGTTCTCCCCTCACCCAGGCGTGCGGCATCAAGTCCGCCGCCGCCGAGGAGTCCGCCACCAAGTCCGCCGCCGCCGAGTCCGCCACCAAGTCCGCCGCCGCCGAGGAGTCCGCCACCAAGTCCGCCGCCGCCGAGGAGTACGCCACCAAGTCCGCCGCCGCCGAGGCGTCCGCCACCAAGTCCGCCGCCGCCGAGGCGTCCGCCACCAAGTCCGCCGCCGCCGAGGAGTCCGCCACCGAGGAGGCCGCCACCGAGGAGGCCGCCAAGTCCGCCGCCGCCGAGGTGTCCGCCGCCGCGGAGGCAGTCGCCGAGGAGGCGCCCGTCGCCAAGGAGGTCGTCGCCGAGGAGGCTGCCAAGGAGGTCGCGAAGCCGGCCAAGACCGCTTCCAACACGACCGACCCAACCGTGAGCGCGCCACAGCATTCTCTCCTGGCACTCCTCGCTCTCCCACCGGTAATAATCTCCCTTCCCGTGTGCCCCTATCGCGCTTGCAGGACACCACCTGCTACCCGGGCCTGCCCACGCCGATGGCGGCGGGGAAGAGCGGGCCCGCGTCGGCCCACAGCGGCTCCGGACCGGGCTACGTGGACGGCGTCGAGGCCGAGGTCCGCCGGCTGGGCGAGAGCGTCGTCTACCAGGCTACGCCCGCCGACGGCAAGAAGTCGCCGTCGCCGGGAGTCCCCACCTCCGGCGGCATTGCGCCCGTGGCGCCCAAGCCCCTGGGAGCGATCAAGTCTGTCACCAAAGTCGCCCCCGCTTTCAAGCCGGTGGCGACCGGCGGCGCGCCGCTCTCGTCGATCAAGAAGTTTCCGGAGGAGAACCCCGCACCGGCAGCGAGCGCCTGGCATTCTGTGCCGTGCGGCTGGGAGTCACTCCTAATCCCATCCCGTGTCGATGCGTAGGGCCACCCCGACGGGATCGTCTCGGCCAAGGAGTTTCCAAAGGAGAAGCCCGCCCCGGCGGCGAGCGCCGCAGTCTGTGCCGTGCGTCTGCGGACCCACTGCCTGACCCCATCCCGCGTTCGACGCGTAGGGCGAGCCCGACTGGTACGTCTCGAACTCGCGCAACAAGACGGAGCGCAAGGGCGAGGTCAAGTCCACGAAAGTCTCCAACAAGTACGATCTGCTCTACGACGGCGAGACCAACGTCGCGGCGGAGGTCGACGAGGACGAGGATGAGAAGAAGGGAAAGGAGAAGGGCGCGGAGTCGCGGGGCAAGGAGTCCTCAGTGCGCGCCCTCCCACACAGACGACACACACTGCCCCGCGCCTTTGCTTGACAGCGCGTCGCGCGCGCCGCAGTTCGAGTCTGTCTCGCCCGAGTCTGTCGGTGGCAATGGCAAGGCGCCCCGCGGCTCCACGCCGTCGACCACAGACTCGGTGCTCGCCGCCTGCATACGCCGGATTTTCCGTTGCCGCTAGCTCACCGCCAGTCTGACGACTCCACGCCGCCTGTTCAGGGCGCGACAGTCGAGACGTCTACGACCGCCGCGCGCTTCGGCTTCGGCTTTGGCTTCGGTAAGTTCTGCTCGTCAAAGCTGCTGTGCCTCGTCTTCTCAATCGCGGTGCTCGGTCTGGTCTGCTCGGCCTTTGCTCTCTCATCGAAAGGCCCCGGCGACTCTGTGTTTGTGCCCGACGCGGCCGCGATCCCGGTGCGCGAGATGGCCTCTCGAGGTTGACACTGCGGTAGGTGCAGAAGGCAGGTTGACACCCCGCACCTGCGCAGGTCGTTGACTTCTCCAACACCACGCCAGCATCCCACGGCTTTGGCGCTGTCGCAAACCCCAACGTGCTGCCCGCCATCGATGCGGTGCCAGTGCGTGACCCCGCGCAGGACGCGCCGCGCTCAGAGTCGCATTACAGCACGGCTGCATGCACGGCTGCCAACCGGTTCGCCGCTACCGTCTGCGGGGAACCCTCCTCGGAAGTGCAGTCACCGGTTCGCGGTGTTGTCTTTGCGCCCGCCCCAGATCCCACATCGATGCCGCCGCCGTCGCCATCGCGGGTGCAGTCCCGGCAGATGAGCTCGGCCCCATTCTGCTCGGCGGATGAATACACAGGGAGGACAGATCTTGCAGCCTCAGGCAAGGACGCCGCCGTGAGCCTCTCGCCCCACGATGTCACTTGTGGCAATGGTGCCAAGGATGGGCCGGCCGTTTCTCAGTTCGCCCTCACGGGATTCAGAATCCTACGCCAGTCCGACAACAGTCTCCAACTCCAGTACGAGTACTGCTGCAGGGCAGTTCCTCTCATGACGAGAATCTCGACTAGCACGGTCACGGCCAGCAGTCAGGTTGGCCCAGCAGGACATGATCTCTGCGCAGATGCCACCTGCCAAATTGGAGAGTTTACGGTGGTGGATCTCGACGACATTTCCAACATCACAGCTTCGTGCTTGCCGTTCTCTTCGGGGAGCGAATCGCTCTATTATCAGGGATACGAAATTAACACCCACGGCAGCTATGGTATGTTCGAAACCACGTCGCCGGAGTATCCCGCGGTGAGCATCCCGCTCCTCCAAGGCTTCAAACTGAGCCGCGTGAACTCGGACGTTGAGTACCGTTCTACTTGCGGGGCGGCCGCTTTCGCAAGCAGTGAGTTGGCGACGCCATTTCAGTGCCTTGACTACTACACGGCATGGAGCGAATGGAGCGACCAGCCAATTAACCTCGACCGGCATGACGTCAAATGCCCCCTGCGGGGCTCGGCTCCATCCTACCTCGTTGCTTTTGGGCTGCAGACTGCTGTGAACAGATTCTACAAATCTAACGATGAAGACAAAACCCAAAAAAGCTGTGTTAATACAAAGGGTTGCAAGCAGGTTACAGTTGGAACCATGAGGTACAAATACACGTGCTGCTCGCAGGTTCTTGGTCTCGTGCTTGACCTCCCGAATGGATCGTCAACGGTGCAGCAGCAGTCAACTTGGAAGTTTGTCGGCTCCTTCAACAGCTACACGCACACAGACAACATGGAAGCTACGGAGGACTCTACACTGATGACCTCCAGGGCCACAACTACCCAGGATACCTTCGAGACGTCCGCAACCCTCAAGTTTCTTACTGAGTCAAGCGTTACGCCGAGCTACAAGTCGACGAACACGCTCACCAGCTTCAACTCGCAGACCAAGACGCAGTCCAATTCCATCAGCCAGTCTCTGAGCACGATGATGACGTGGGCTCCTGGCCGCATCAGCCGAGGCCTGCCTCGGCCGGAACCAATCTGGCAATGGGTGACGACCTACTCAGCCGGCGCGGTTGGAACCGGCATACCAATCTACGTCCAGTCGCGTTCCCGCCCGTGCTGCCTGCCTGGGGAGGCAAAAAATCCGATCAACCAGAGCGGCGAGTGTACCGGCGGCATCAATCTTTGTGAGCTCGACACGGCGGCAGTGACGGTCAGCACCGAATGGAGCACAAATGGGGTTCGCCCCACGTGTCAGGATGAACGCACCTTCACGACGTGGCCGACGAGAGACAACAACCAACAGCTGGTCTGGCACCACGTGGGACAGCAATGCGCCGGGAAAATGCCTCTCACGCAATGGCACGCAAAGCGCATCGACTCGGAAGGCGTTGCTGCACAACAGACGTATTTCGAGTACACGTGTTGCGCTGACTTTGCCCCGGCGATCGACCTCGATAACTGCGTCACAACGGAGACAGCTTCGACTTCTGCGGGTGCATCCGACTACGACTCCTCTGATGTCCAGGATGCCGCTGGGAATGTACAAAAGTTGGGAGACCTCAAGGTCTCGTGCCCAAATGACGACGTGCTGACAGACTTCCAATTGCAAGGCGAAGGGGAAAAAACAAGTCTGAGGTGGAAATACAAGTGCGCACCTGTGGCCTCTGCACATCCCACTCTCTGGCCTTCTGACCAGTCCGCCTCCCCCCCACAACACACACGTCACCTTGCGTAGGTACCAATGCTGCCCACTCAAGGACACTGCTGCGAAAGGCCAGTATCGATGCGACCAAATCGAACCAGATGAGGGCGAGGCGTCCACGTATTCGCCAACAGTTCCTCCTGCTGGGCGGTCAGTTTCCGACGTCGGAACATGGCGCTCACTTGCGGAGCCTGCAGGGGAAGTGAACTGCGGCGATGCTGCGGTGAATAGCTTCGAGGCAGGGCCACTTGTGCCCGCTTGCGCTCGCTATATAGCCCCCCCCTCTCACCATCCGCCCCTCCCTTTAGATGAACGACCTCGGTGACGACTACACGTACTCCTACTCTTGCTGCAAGGTGCGATATGACGCGGCCCCCACATCCAAGTGGGTCCAGCTACCCGAATACACGTCCTCGTTTACGCCTTCCACCGACTGGCTCGAGCTCGCAAGCGGGGAGGATTGCACGGCACAGTGCCTTGAAAAGGGCTACAGCTACACGATCGTGAATGCACCCACGGTTGCGACGGCAACGTGCTGGTGTGGCAACTCGATCGCAATGCTACCCAAGCCATCATCAGGCATGCTGACTGGTATGCTCGGTGATCCTCCAATTATGTACGGTGACGAAGTAAAGATCCTCACGTACCCGGACGTGACGTGCCCATCAGGATACACTGACGTCGAAGACGCCAGTGAGTGCCAGGCATTGGCCAGCACTGCATTTGGGGGGGGGGTCAGTACGGGGGAGTACCAGGAGGCCCTGGACAATGACGAAAACTGGATCGGTGGGTGTTTCCAATGGTACCCCCCCCCTCCGCCTGGAATGCCGGGACAGGAGGGCCCGCTTGTGCCCGCCAAAGATACAAGCCGAGACGTGTACTGGAACGACCGCCCAGGAGCGACGACGGGCAACCTCGGCGGCCACAAGATCTGCAAGCTAGACGATCGATGCGAGTGCTACTTGTGCACAACAGAACTCGATCCGACGGATGGCCATTTCGTTAGCTATCCAAAATGCTACTCTCCCGAATGCACCAGCACCAGCAGGGATGGGACGGAGTGCAGCAAGGATGGGACCTGCTCAACTACCGAAGGACTACGGGAGGAATTTACCGGAGATGGTGTGTGCCCATCTTACCCAGGTGCCTACTTCTATGTTTGCCCGACCAAACAGCTACCCTACTACTACAACCGTGGCACGTGTTCGGGCCTTGTCGACGGGGCGTGCCAGTGCCGCGAACCGCACCCGGCAATGCCGCCTCCGCCGTCACCGCCGCCGCCGTCGCCGCCGTCACCACCGCCATCGCCCCCAAGCCCAGCCCAGCCTTTCTTCACCACCGTGTACGGCTACTTGACGTCCACCGACGGACACGCGGTGGACGCGGACTTCCCAGAGTACTTTGGGCAGTGGACCCCGTTCGCATACGGCAGTTAGTACTGCGCTTTAGCCCAACGCCAACCCTGTACCTAACCTTTAGCCCAAGCCTGTGTATAGGCAACGCGGACTGGCAGATCACGCTCGAGACGGGCACTTCAACCAGCGACAAGAGCGTCACAAAAGAGCAGATGACCTCGAAGGTCGAGCGCTCACTGAAGCAAGAAGTGGAGCTTTCCGGACTCGGCAAGCTTTCCCCGGTCAAGTTCAAGGAGAGTACTCAACGCACATGGGGGCCCACGGTCGAAACGTCCACGGAGACGATCGAGCAGCTGTCTCGCTCGAGCAAGGAAAGCTACCAGTACAAGCTGGAGCAGGACGACTAT